GACAATGACTTTAAAAACCTGCGCCGTTTGCCAGGGTTAGGTGTTGTTTGAGAGCGCCTATTAAGGCACTCACGCCGTGGGCGAGACGAGCAGTGGCCACCGCCATCATGAACATCACCACCAGCATCGCCACAATCAAATAAAAAAGATCCCCCCCCCCCCTAAAGCCTGAACAGACTGTTGAGGCAAGTGCTGTTAGGGAGCACCTATGAAGGCCGGCACGGCACACGAGGGGGTGGGTGGCCAGCACCACGCCCGGCCGCCTTTGCCTCCCCAGTGGCGATGTTTACACACCGCACCAGGTACTCATTTGAGGCCGAGTCGACCTAGGGTAGGCCTAGCACCGGTTCAGACAATCGACACCGGTGTTGGCCGTGAGCGGGAATCAAACTCGCGCCTCCGGGTTCGGGGCGCAGGGCGTGAAGCCCTCACCGCCACTTCCAGCAACCTTCCAACCAACCCAGCCAGCACCTCACTCGGCATCCAACCCCCGCTGCCTCCGTGTCTCGAATTCCACCTTGTGAATCAAAGGGGCTTGTAGCTGCTGCCAAAACTCTATCATCCCAAATCTAAACTCTTCCCAGAGAGTACACTGGGGCACGCACCCTCTCTCACTCACGGCAGCAAACCCAACCAACAGCGGGCCCTATAAATAGCTCTGCCCCCTCCTCCTCCTCCGTGAGCTGGAATGAATGGATAAAAAAAATATCCCTTAAAAAGAGCTCGGGTTTTTTTTTTTACAACTGTCTCTTTTAAAACTCTCTCTTTCTCTCGCCCAAATGTTATTTCGAGCAATGAAACGGCCCGTTTGCCACGACTCGACGTTGGAATGCTTTGGGCGTGCGGTGGCGTGTGGGAGGTTGGGGGGGGGGGAGGTGAAGCGGGTGGCGGGGAGTGAAATCCATCTTGGCCTCTCTGTCTTGTTTCGCTCAGCGGAGTGTCTGGCCAAATTGTCACGCACATGCTGTGTCATTTTCCAGATGTTACAGGACATCAAGGCCTTGGTCGGAGGCTTGGGAATGTGCGGAATGTAAACCGTCGTGAGCGGCCTTATCTCCTCTACCTCGTCGTGATCATCATCGTCGTCGTCGTCGTCGTCATTGTCAGACGTAGTCGCTCTACTGCTGGACGGAGGCCTTCCCGAAAGCCTGGTCGACGTCGGCAAGGCAGGCAGCTCGCCGCTGGAGGAGTACCCACTCATGTTGTGCAGATTTTACATTTTTTTTCTGCTCGTCTTCGTCTTTCGATTGCTGCTGGAATATATCAAGCGTGGATCCACCAACACCAGGTCGCAACAAAGGAATGGACCCGAGAGGACATCCAACGTGGAGATGGAGCGGTGAAATCGGTTGCCTGTGCAGGCGCGAGGTGGATCGTTACGTCGCAGGATCGAGAGAGGTGGTGGCGGCACGGCTTGTGGGGGAGGGGGTGGCCAACATCCAGCAGTGGATTGATCACGGCTGAGGATGACGAATGCAAGATCTCTGTGTTTTCGAAGAGGAGAGAAAGAGATCGTGTCTGTTGGGGTGCAGGGATACAATTTGGCCACATGGCCCCACGTGGAGTCGGAGGATTTAATTTAAATCCCAGGGCTTTGCTGAGAGCTTCCGTGTGAGCACACACACACACAGACAAAAGGCACACACCAACACATACCTATGCACAGTGGTACATACAAAGACACGTACACCCCCTACACACAGATATACTCGCATACACAATTCCACAGCGACATATATATTTAGAGATGTAACTACATACGTACGTACAAATATATACACACACCCACATAGACAATGACAAGATCTCCTATATAGCATTGAACAGACTGTTGGGGCAAGTGTTGTTAACAAGAACCTCACAAGGCTGGCACAGAACAGGAGCAAGTGAGTAAGCGGCACCACACCCCGCCACCTTTATCTCCAAAATACTGAAATATACACATTGCACCAGGTACTCATTTAAGGCGCAGTCGACCTAGGGGTGGACCGGTGCAGCTATTTGTCACCGACCACTGCGCCACCTACTAAGACAAAGATCACCCGTGTAGCCTGAACAGACTGTTGGGTCAAGTGCTGTTAGCGAGCACCTATGAAGGGGGGTGGGTGGCCAGCATCACGCCCGGCCGCCTTTGTCTCCCGAGTGGTGATGTTAACACATCGCACCACGTACTAATTTAAGGCCGAGTCAACCTAGGCGAGGCCCAGGACCGGTGTCGGCTGTGCGCGTACAAACACATTCTCGAGATAGTGCGTCCCCCTTCCACTCAGGAGCAAACGTCAGCTAATTTACAATTGGCACGCGCGTATCGCCGCCACCTCTGCTCTGCCATGAACGTGAACCGTAAATACCCGCCCAATCAGTGTCATAATCATGGTACACCTGTGGGCCGCCAGGTAGCGGATGCATGACTGCATTTTTAATTAGTGCAGGTGACTTTATTTGAGCAGGTGAGGGCCAATTAAGGCTCATTATGTCTTTCGTCAGAGGGATCCGGATTTTTGCAACGAAAAAATAAACCGCAGCCGTCACTGCTCTTGCTCGTCAGTGTAGAGTCATCATCATCAGCGTCGTCGTCATCAGCCATGTTCAATCCACTTGCTGGATGTAGCCGTCACTGCTCTTGCTTGCCAGTGTAGAGTCATTATCATCATCAGCGTCGCCACCAGCCATGTTCAATCCACTGCTGGATGTAGCCGTCACTGCTCCTGTGGTCAGCGCAGAGTCATCATCAGCGTCACCAGCCATGTTCAATCCACTTGCTGGATGAAGGCCTCCACAAGCCGACGCCACCACCTCTCGCGAAACTGCGAAGTATTAGCACCGATTGGCCCTCTATGCAAACGCAGTAAGACATCCCACTCGTAAGCCATGCTACGAACAGGTCAAGGCTACATTCCACATGTTGTCAGCTGTGTGATAATAATGCTCCACAGTCCTTTGTCAGTCTACTGTTGGATGAAGACTTCACACACACACCGTGTCAATTGTGTGGAGGGCGGGGGGGGGGGGTATTTGACCATACTTCACCACACTGGTCAGCAGGCACGGACGGGTGTATTTGGAAGGGGGCTGGGTTGGGTGGGGGGTGCGGCTTGGGTTGGTTCAGATATCACTCGCCATTGATGTTAGCCGTGGTCGCGAATCAACTGCGTGCATTTCTTTTTGAAGGTCAATGGAAGCTCATATGCCATTCCGGTCTTCAAAGATGCTCGCTCACGGCACTTGCCCCTAAGGTGTGTTGAAGGTTATACGGGGGGGGGGGGGGGGGGGGAATCTTCTTCTTTGTGATATCACCTTAATCAACCGTTACATAATAATACAGCAGCAACGTCCGCGCGAACGGAGCAGCAGTCTCGCACACACCGACTGCACGCACGGGCAGTGGTGCACGTGGTTCAGATAATATTTGTAGCTCTCGCTGGCGAGATTCTGCCCAACCTTGAGGGTGACGAGCTGACAGTAATGCAGTCAACATTTCTGCAGCATGGAGACATCGGCAATCAACAGCGTTTGTATCAGCACGTTTGGCTACGTACGGTGCAAAAGAAGTTCAACCTACTCATTGTTTTTTTTCGGTAAAGCCACGTATGTAGAAATACCATGAAATTATATTCAAATAAATCAATCACGACGTTTCGACCGCAACACGAGCGATCTTCATCAGGTGTAAAAAAAAAACAGCGAGGGAGCATATAGGGCGACACTAACGCAGCACATAGAGAGCGCCAAACTGCACGGAGGTAAATACAACAAGAAGATGAGAGACGAGAATTCAACAAACCTAAGGAAAAATTACGTGATGCAAAACCAGTCAGGCCAACAACACAGCAACATCATCATAACCAGCAGCATCAACATCATCATCATAACCATAGCCGTCATATGCAGCAACAGCAACACCACTCGTCATAGCCAGCATCAACAGTCATCATCATAACCTTCACCATCACCTCCTACACCACCATCAGCACCCATCGTCAATAGCAGAACCCCAATCCATCGTTTGGATTAGACATAGCAATCATCACTCTTCGCCTGCAAAAAAACGCTGCAGGACCCTCCTGATATTTAGTCATTAGACTCAGCGAGGCTTTTCTGGGCAACCATGCATGAGCTAATAATAATTCAACAATAACCACCTTGCCATTATCACCAATCATCATCATCAACATAACCATTATCACTATCAGGCACCACTACCACAATCAACAAAGACAACGATTCCCCCACATAGCATTGGGCATCTGTGAAAAAGAGCTTCATAGCTCATCGGATTTCTCCAGGATAAATAAAGATTATGAGCCTTCAGCAAACTGTCAGGGCAAGTGCTGTTTGCGAGCATTAAGGCCGGAACGTCGACCAAGGGGGTGAGGTTACCCAGCAACATGCCAGGCCACCTTCGTCTCCATAGTCCTGATGTTCTATACACACCGTGCCAGGTACACGTTTGAGGCTGAGTCGACCTAGGGGAGGGCCCAGTACCGGTTCAGAATATTCCGATGTAGGCCTCGTGCAGAAATCGAACTCGTGTTGCCGGGGTTTGTAGCGCAGGGCAACGCTAACCACCACCGCCACCAAGACAAAGACCCACCTTCTAGCCTTAACAGACTGTTGGGGCAAGTGCTGTTAGTGATCACCTATTTAAAGGCCAGTACGGCACACGGGGAGGGGGGATTTGCCAAACACCACTCCCGGCTGCCTTTGTCCCCCCAGTGTCGTTGTTTACACGCCGCACCAGATACTCATCTGAGGCTGAGTCGACCTAGGGGAGGGCCCAAGACCGGTTACGAATATTCGCCACCGATGTTGGCCTCGTGCAGAAATTGAACTCGTGTGGCCGGGCTTCAGAGCGCGGTGCAGCGAGAAACCGCGACACCGCCGCTCGTGACAACCCACCACGGCCACCACCACCATCACGGCCACCACCACCACCATCACGGCCACCACCACCAAGGCCACCACCACCACCGCCACCACAATCGCCAGGGCCGCCTCACCTTGCGCCCGCTCGCCCTGTGGATCGCCTTCTTCACTTTGCCGTACGTCCCCTTGCCCAAGGTCTCCAGGAACTCGTAGCGATGCTTCAGGTTGTGCGTGTGTTGGTGTCTCCGCACTCCGCGATGAGCCAAGCCGGGAGTGGCAGCAGCGGCGGCGGTGGCAACCGGAGACCCAGGACGTCCCGGTTTGACTCGCGAAGCCGAGCAGGAGTAAGTGAACGGGGAGGATGCTGCTGCAGTTGAGGAAGTGCACGGCGATTGCTGCCGTTGCTGCTGGTGAAGATGACGTTGCTGCTGTTGTTGCTGCTGCTGCTGTGGTTGCAACTGAACCAGCGCGGACCGGCGTGTAGCTGGTGTCGAACCGCGAACCCGGACATCTCTCGTGGCTCCGGCTGGTTCTGCGCGTCGGGTCCTCAGCAGCACCTCGGTAGCCATCCGGAGGCTCCCTCCAGCAATCAGCTGGGAGCAGGAGCCGAAAAGGCGTTCGTGGTTGTTGTTGGTGATGATGATGATGGCAGCTGATTTGACGAGTAAAGTTGATTATTGTGATGGGGATAGGATGACGATGATGGAGGTGGCTTCTGTTTGGAAGAGGAACAGAATGATGATGACGGACGACGAGATGAGGATGAATACGTTGGCTACGAGGAACGTGCCAGCCTGGAGTGTGACCACCAGACTTCTGCACAGACCTCTTTCCCCTTATCCTCTAGACAGCACGCATATCCTCTAAAGGAAGACGATGATGATGAGATGGACGATGCGGGTGTGTGCCGTCTCGTGCCATCATCATCCGCGCGGGGTAGAGAGAGAGAAGAGAGACGAGCAAGCGCGGGCGAGGGAGCGCGACTCCCCCCCCTGTGCGCCGAGAGCGCGCGTTGGATGTGATGCAGGGCTGGAAAGGCTGAGGGGGGTCCACTGGGCAATATAGCGCCACCTTTGAACATCGGCAGCCCTCCCACCACGTCCAATTGGGTCCCGTGGAGCCGAGGGCCGGGCCAATGGAGGCAGAGCGAAGATTTGTCATCACCGATGGGCGTAAGGGCAGGGAGCGAGAGAGGGAGGGATGCGCTTGCAAGTTGAAAAAAAAACATTGTCTGAAGCTTCTACTGCTGCGTTGGCAGTGGTGGACAAACAAACATAATAACAACAACAACAGCTGCCATTCGTCACTAAGTGGCGGTGACGTCACCACGGCGCCAGTGCCAGGCTAGGTGCACCTTGGGGATGCTAGGAGGTCGCGGGACAGACCCAGGTGCCGTGGGTTGTTGACTGGCTGAGATGACTGGCAGATGCGTCAGCTGTGCCCCCTACTGTGCAAAATAACAACATCAACAATACGCAACAAATTCGTCAATAACAACACTCTGTGGTCTTAAAAGAATAAAAAAACAATCCGACACGTCGTTTAGGGCAATGGCCCTTCTTTGCAGAACAAGGACAATTGCCCGAAACGTCGCACATTATCTAACTAAATGGCAGCGTTATCGACGAATGTGTTGAGTTTTAATATTTCTATTTGCTCAGTGTTTATTTAGGAGGGAGCGAATGACTTATTCAGATGAGACACACAAACACTGAGCGCAACCACTGTGCCAAATAAGTGTCACCACCATCGTTTGTTGAACAAGACGTGCCAACACCAGTGACGATTATCTGAACCGGTCCTGGACCTCCCCTAGGTCGACTCAGCCTCAAATGAGTACCTGGTGCAGTGCGTAAACATCGCCACCGGGGAGACAAAGGCGGTCGGGCGTGGTGCTGGTCAATCACCTCCTCGTGTGCCGTGCCGGCCTTCATAGGCGCTACTCGCTAACAGCACTTGCCCCAACAGTAGGTTTAAGGCTACACGGGGGATCTTTGTGTTTACATACAACACTAGTGGGTGGTGCTGGGTGTAAACAAACGACGCAAAAGCGTAGTGCCCCACATCGATCAATGGGGCCGTGGATAGATATAACGATTAATGCAACGTACGTCCAATCAGATCAAATGCAAATACTTATAAACATAAGTCAATTGACGTAAAGAAAACAATCTGACCTTTATCTTGTCCGCATCCCTCATCTCACGAGATCTCTGTGGTGTCTACATTTCTGTTATCTCACTACAATCTATCTCGCTTGTCTATAGCTCTTCTGCCATCTCACTAGGGGTTTATAAATGTAATGGGGGTCCCCAAAGAATGTATTCTGCTCCGGTCCTCCCCAATGGGGCAGCGTGTCACCGCCGTAACTGAACACACAAAAAACAAAGGCAGCCTTCAATAGACTGTTGGGGCAAGTGCTGTTAGCGAGCAGCTGTTCAGGCTTGGTGCTGTTGCTCAGTATAGCAATACATATACGAACACATTCTGTAATTGCACGTTGAGGCACACACATCATAGGTATACGTTATAAGACGTGTAATTAAATTATTATATACTGTAATACGTTAATACTCGAGGGTAATGTATAGGGTGGGCGGAAAGTCTCATACCTCTGCCTTCAACAGTAATTAGAACGATATTCAATGATAAATTAATATTGGGATTTCCGACTAACTAAAAGGTACATTTAACTTTAAGCAACACTTACCATCTCTTGCAATGAACAGTTTCATAATAGATGGTATACATTAGGTTGACGTTTCGGACAATGACTCTTATTCAGGACTTATATGGCAATTGTTTCTGGCAGGTGGATCGTACACAACCGATCGTGTAGTGTTGTGTGAATGCGTCTTGTATGTAATCGGTGTGTTTTGCATTGTGTTGTTTGCGTTGTCAGTATATAGGCATTATGTATGTGTTGTATGTGTTTTATTATGCATTTATATGTTGTGTGTATTATGTATCTTGGCTGTTCATGTGTTGTGTGTGTGTGTGTTGCATGTCTATTCATGATATGTGTTGTGTGCTTGTATGAGTGTACATTCTTAATTCTTTGCGGTGACGCAATGTTATTTAAAACGGAAACGTGATTTTATTTCTGAGTGGAGCTCACACCCACTCATGGAGGGTTATCGTGAAAAACCACGCTTAGCTGCAAACAAAGACAAAGATCCCCCGTGTAGCCTACAGAGGCTGTTGGGGCAAGTGCCGTTAGCGAGCAGCATCTTATGAAGACCGACACGGCAGACGAAGGAGTGGGTGGACAGCACCACGCACGGCCGCCCGCATATCCCCAGTGCTATTTTTTTTACACACAAGTACTCATTTAAGGCTGAGTCGACCTAGGGGGTGCCCAGCACAGGTTCAGATCGTCGAAACCCGTGTTGACCGTGAGCAGGAATCGAACTCGGGTGGCCAAGTTCGTAGTGCAGCGCGCTAACCGCTATACTACCGCTCCCCATCGCACCAGGTACAAAGACAAAGATCCCCTGAATAGCCTTAACAGACTGTTGGGGCAAGTGCCGTTAGCGAGAAGCTATGAAGGCCGGAACGGCACACGAGGGGGTGGGTGGCCAGCACCACGCCCGACCGTCTTTGTCTCCCTCGTGGCGATGTTTACACACCGCACGAGATACTCATTTGAGGCTGAGTCGACCTAGAGGATGCCCAGGACCGGTTCAGATATAATCGTCATCGTAGCGTAGCGTGGCGCTAGCCGCTGCGCCACCGCTCCCCACAAGGCGCACGTGCATGGAGAAAAAGCGCCACCTCTCGTACACAATCTCTCACCTGCAAACGCTGACAGCGGCAATCAATTCCAGACACAAAAGGGTCCTTCCTCCCCGAGCCACGGGGCCAGTCCAGTAAACCCACGTGTCAACCTCCGTTGGAAAAATTACGTTTTAATAACACGTAGGAAAAACAATCATCATCAGCAGCAGCCACGATCAATTCGCTGCTAGGTTGAAGGCTTCCCAAGCCCTCACCATCTCTCACGCTCCTGCGATGTAACAATCGAGCTCATATTACTGCACACGAGCTGATTTCATCACTTGGCCTCCATGTTGAGTGTCCTCTCGGCCGGTTAAATTCCTTTGCAGAAGGAGACATAATCTGTGTTCAATTTCGCCGCAGCGATGTGCCCAGTGCGCATGCTAATATGTAATCGAGGTGCTGCATTATCTAACGACTGTGTTACGTAATCTTGGGGCGGCGGAGCGGTGGCGCAGCGGTTAGCAGCGTTGCGCTATGAACCTGATGGGCGACCTGAGAATCCTCTAGCCACGACGAACGTCAAGGGGCGACCTCCCCCTTGCCCCCCCCCCCCCCGAACCCCACTGACTTGACCGGCATAGCAAAACATATCCAACAACCCCCCCTCCTCCATGGCCGACACGGCGTAGGAGCCTTCATCCAGCAGTAGATTGGCCAAGGGCTGCTGTAAAATAAGTAATAATCGTAATCGAGAAGGGCTAGGGTTAGGGTGTGTGTTTTTTTCCATTACACGCGTGCACGGACGCAATGTTAACCGCCGAGAGTGAGATCAGAATTTCAGATTTCACACGAGTCGCCTGGAAGGCATTTTCATAAATTTGTATAAATTCATCGCTTCCTGCACTGCAATAGACGCCAACTGATTCTTTTTTTATGGAAAACTTTATATTTTTGTAAAAGTCTTACGCCAGAATCCTTACTTTATACCACAAATCAGCGTTTAGCATTACCCCACCTCCCCATCTCTCATTAATGTTAAGGAGCAATTATATAAAATATAAAACGAGCTTCGGTCCTCCCCCCCTTTTGATGCCGATGCATGTGAAAATGTGTGTGCAGAGTTGCATTTGAGGATATGGTAAAACAACTTGGCGGGTCAGAGCGGAACGCTGCACGCAAAGCATCAATCACGAAGGGATAATCGAGACAGGGACGGAAGTGCCATCCCAGAGGTCTACAACCAAACGGGAAACACCCCAAAGTTCAAAAGTCATGATTACCTCCTAACCTCGTTAGCTGGCCATGAGTAAACATACCTTGTCCGTTCATTTGTAATTATAAGGCAAAGCGGGGGGTACCCATCTCAGGAAATCTCACCATACAGTCAACCCGCATGGTTTGGATATGTCGAAAGAAGAGAGGGGCTAGGCACCGGACGAGAGGTGACGAACGTGGACACATGAGAGCAGAGGCCGAGAGACAGGCCAAGAAAGAAGGAAAGAGGTGGTTCGAAATTGTGAACCGGGATATCAAGGACTGCAGAGCAAGAATGAGTGGAGAAAGAGAGAAAAAAAGGAAGATTCCTGCCCAGGTTGTCGGAATGTTGAAAAGAAGGTCAATAGTTCATCGTGGCCAATGCCGTTGATGCCACCACACCTTGCGTTTGCTTCCTAAAGACGTTAAAGATTCCGTGACGTCATTCGAAAAACAACAGAAGTACATTTGTGCTGGCATTATGATACTCAATTGGGATCACACAGAGCAAGCATTGCCCCCTACTGGCAGACTAATTCCCGATTACAGGCCAGGTGCGAAATCACCTTGTGCCCACAGGGACAGAGCTGCCCACTTGGGAGTGCCCTTTCAAATGTTCATGATGAGATGTGATGCGTAAAGTACTCCGAGATGCCACGGCATAAAGGAAGGGCGTTACACCAAAAATAAAATCATCTTCTGCTAAATCTTGCACTTGGTGTTCAGTCGATACTCGATTTCAAACGACCGCTCTTATAGTCTCCCACCATCTGGGCTTTCAGTCTTCCCCCGGGGTCACCTTCATTCCTCTGGGGTCACCGTCCAGGAGGGTCACCAACATCTGCCTATCACTCCAATGCCCTTCTCGATAACCTGCCTTCCTCCATCCGGCAGACGCACGTTTTGGCAACGGCACCGACCTAAGTTAATAATGCAAATACTAAAAAAGGGCATAGGTGTGTGTGTGGTTTTTTTTTGGCGCATGACTATATCGCAATATAATTGTACGCATATTTTCAGTATTATGGTATATCCCCGTTGTTTAAACAAAATTACCTTCGGTAGCTTTACGTTTCAGGCGTGTGTAGGGGTAAGTAACAAAAGTGAAAGCTTAAAATAAATCAGTGAGTTGCCCAAGCACAGTGGATCCTTGAAAAGATACATCAAAAGGATGAGTTTAAACAAATCGAGGAAGCGTTAGTAGTCATTTTTCTGGAATGAAAAATATGAACGTTG